GGGTCGACTGTACTATTAAGAGTCATCAATACTAACATTGGCATCAGCCAGATGACCATTGTTCTAATCTCAAAAAAGTGTATAAATCATTGTCACTTACAGACATCCAATGAACAACCTTTTATTACCTGATTAAATACATTGATTCTTCTTTACTACTTAAAATCTGCCAGACATGACCAAAAAGAAAACTGGTCCAATCTTTTTGTACATTTCCGGGATTAAAACTACTATGAAAATCTCAGGAGCCTGGACATGTACCTGAAGTTTAGAGACCCAGATCAGAAACAAAGCAGTCCACTCTAAAAACTCAATTCTTTATTGATGCACTGAGGTTCATTGTGGAAAATGTTCTTTTGCAGGTAGTAGAGCTAAAGTGGTAAACAGAACATTAACTCAAAGAGAAATTGATATGCTTAAGTGGCACTTTTAGAATAGTAGAAAGAAGTGTAAGGATATATTCTGTTACTGTTCATCTTTACACAAGTAACAGTCAGTGTTAACTGCATGTTTTTTTATGTCCTGACATTCTTCCACAAGCATGTTCTTATACAGGTGATATTTTTGGCTACTCATTTTTACATTAAAACAACAAGTAAATTATTTTGTTATATATTGATGTGAATAACTGTTCAGTTTCTTTGGACATTTAGAAACGAGTAATGGATTATATTTTGAAAATTACATCATCCAAATACCCAACTACCTTCCTACAAAATGAGTGCACTGCTACAGTCAATGTTAAGCTGAGCAATGTAGGCTCCACGCTTACGCAATTTTAACTCACCTGTTTTCTGATATTTTTACTGTTTTGGCACGTGTGATTTACATATTCTGCACTGATCCATTAGTGCACCACTGAATCACACAAATGGTCTTATACAATGAAGCCCAACCATGACAATGCTCATCACCAAACAGCTCTGAACCAATGCTATGGAGTTAGATTTAGTAAGCTGTTCAACATAAAATATACAATTGTGTAGACTTCCATATTGTGTATGATGAAATAAATACAATAATCCTGCCTCCAATTCTACATAAATGTTGATCTACATGTTCTGTAACAGCAGTGTTGCCAAATCAAAAACAGGTAGTTGATAAAGGTACAACCTGTAACAGCAACACAATTTATCTATTTTATCATTGAAAAATATGGAAAGTTTATCTTCTGGCACCTAGATAAAAATGAAGTCAAATACTTCAACGAAAAGTTGCTTATTCTTTATATTGAAATCTGTTTTCAATGGCATTGGACACACGAGTAATGCTCAATTTGATTGTTTCTCCTTAAAACTACTGACTTTCAAACTGCATTGCTTTTAAGGAACTTTGATCATGGCAAAGTTCTTTAAAAGCAGAAGAATCATGGCCAAATGTTTGTTGCAATCATTGAATTCTTAGATTTGCTTTGATATCACTTACCAAAATCTAGTGTATGTTTACACTTTCAAAATCATGTATTTTTTGCTTGACATCTAACATACATGTATCCTTGTCTAGAGTATTTCAATGATTTTATTTTTCAGAAGTCTCCTTGCTTTAGCCAACTTAACATTGCTGGTAGCATTGACCTCTAGAAGAATGTTGATGGTACTTGAATGCATGCCATTGAGTGAAAATTTAATGAATTTGTTGCAGTATTCTGAATTGTATAAATGTTGAGTATGAGGGGGCTATATCTTATAATTGCTTCTGTAGTAATTGATGAGGTTTAAAACTCCCTGAACATATGCAACAAACTTTACTGTATCAAACATAACCCATTTAAACTTGTGTACTATGCAATAAATCACAGCAACATGCAGAGCACTTTTTTTACAAGACCACACCAACCCAACTCTTGTATCATCCTTATTTACTACAGCTACATTAAGATTCATGCAAACTATCTGACATGTAACAAGTAAGCATGATTGATTAATCATTATCAGCTGCAGTCTTGGTCCCTTTGACCCAATTATCTAAATTTCTGAAAGAATTATGAAACTAATCATAAATACACCAGCATTAACACAGGAATATATGTACAATATCATTCTTTTTCCTGATAATGTCAGCTGATCCATCTGCTATCAGAAAAAACTGCTTTCTGCAAAACAGTATGCAAATTCTCAGCATCAATAAGATATAATTAACAAACTTTTAAGATTGCCATTCTGGTTCATCAACCCAATTGAGAGACCATTTTTTGTCCATAATTGGCCAGTCTTGAAACTTCATGAATGAAAATTCTTCCTTCACACAATATCATGCTCATCACATCAAGTAATAGCTCTGATAGGTAGATCACTGATCTACTTAACAGCTGACTTCAGATTTTCAGCAACCATATTGGCTAGAATGCAATTATGTTTATATCTTGCATCATGTTTTGTTTGAAGTTTTAATGAAATTCTAGTGAGCCTTTCATCTTTAAAAATTACTGATATCTGCAATGTTTAAAAATTTCTGCAGACCTTAGCTAGTTAACTGTAGTTTTTCATCATTAGAATCTATTTGTATGTCTCAAATCACCTCTGCTGAACAGTATGAAAACATCTTTTCTTGTCAATATCCTGGCCACAATCACAAGATTTCTTAAATACATAGAGTGGATGTCACACCAACAATTTAACTGATTTAAGAGAAAAATTCACATAAAAAGGCATTAAAGAACATTTTAATATCCTGCGAGCGCTTTCGATACATTTATAAATGTCGTCTTCAGACAGAACCAGAATCAAAATAAACGTTTCTTAAAATGTTCTTAACGCCTTTTTATGTGAATTTTTCTTTTAAAATCACAAGATTTCTTATGTTTGAACAAAACTGAATGTTATTTTTTATTTGTCATGAGTGTTCTATAATGTTAGTACTGATAATTGCACAGACTGTCACTTCCACAAAATGTTATCACTGTCTATATCACTAGCACAGTATCTGCATTTAGTCTTGTTACAGTTTGGAATCTTCATTGAAAACAAAATTTCCATCATTAACACATTAATGACATCCTTATCTCAAACAGCAAAAGATTATGAAAGAAATCAAAAGAATACTACACACATTTAGCCCTTTTATGTGAACACAACTGAACTGGACATAATTTGGAGGTCACTAGCCTAGCACTACCAGCTATGCCAGAGACAATTACTTTGCATGTTGCCAACAGGCTGTACTTCATTTGCCTTAGTCACATGATTATCTGTAATAGAATCTAAGACTAGGTATTTTAAACAATATATAATTGGGTTATGAAAAATACTCAAATTTACTAAATACACTAGATTCTGGCATTGTTTTGTTTGGACAACAGTTCAAAAAACAAGTGAAAGTTACTATTCTGTTGTTTTACTTATATTATTAAAAATGTTATTGTAGATATTTAAAAAATATGAAAAATTAAATATTTATTAAATACTTATTATTCACAAAAAGATACATAACTATTTTCAACAGAATCTCAATTTCAAGATATATGAATATGAGCCTAATTACACAATATGAATCTTACCATCTTCATGCTAAATAGTAAGATAATCTAAAAATTAGTGTTAAAACAACAAACTTTGAAAACATTAAATTTTGAAAATAGAAAAGTTCTTGTTTTGATTGAAATTTATTTAAAAAAAACAGTAAAATCATTTAATATAAAAATTCTGCTGTTCTGGCACAACACACATTCAACTTTTACATAGGCTATTTAGTTTAAAAACAAGTATATTGAAATTGCAAAAAAAATTTAACATTTAATGTCAGCAATTCTTGATAAAGTATAACAAATTTAACAGAAATTATAATTAGCTAAGATTAAAACTTCATAACTAGAACAAATCAATTCAAAAACAACTTGTCTAAAATATACAGTATTCATGACAATATTTTTTAAATCAGCAGAAATGCTAAAAAATTCTGCAATAATTACAGTTACTTTATATATATATATATATATATAGTCAAAATATTTTAAAATAATGGTTATTAAAATGGTTCCCAATGTATGTAGACTACATAACAGCACTTGGCAATTTATGTTGCTTTAGCAAAATTTAAAAATCCATAATTTTGTCATTTTTGACGATAGATTATTCCTCAGCTTATCAATAATTGATATTAGTTAAAATAAATATATACGTACTAAATACCAAAGTAATTATTTTCTGTATTAATATACATTATTTGGTTTTTTCAACTTATTTAGATTAATGATTATTATATGCAAGCTGTAATAAAGATTTTAAATTATTAGTTAATAAAATACTGGAGGATTAAATCATCCATGCTATCTAATAGAATATTTTAGATAAAAAAAAAAAAAAAAGTCACTTTGCAATGTGATATCCAATGCAAGTTTGTTACATGTATCATGTACTGTACAATGAATTATTTGAAGTATTTAACGTTTTAACACTTCACTTTCAATTTATGCCTTAATAAATATTGAAAACAATTGCTTTATCAGAAATTTAAACGTTTGCAGAGATTTAATCTTAAACAAATGATGACTCAATGTTAAAATGTAAAGGAATTTTCTTTTTTTTTTTTTAAATATTAGTAATGTTTACAGTTTGTGTTTAAAATTACAACATACAAGTACATAGCAATCCCCTTATACGTCACACCACCCTATTGTTGAACAAAGAAAATTACTGTCTGAAACTTGCAATTATTAAAAGTAATCTGTAAATAAACTGTAGACGTAATAGTTAAATAAAAAAACTTCTATGATAATGATAATATAATAATTGGTTTGTCAGGATTTCTCTAAAAATAGAGAAAATTGATGAAGTATTCGTTTATATTGAGTTATAAGGAAATTACTTCATGCTTATTATATCAAATAATTTGGATGTAACGAAGTAAACGAGAAGGAAATTCTTTTCCAATAAAAGAATTAATTTATGGTTGCCATACTTGCTTAAGCCTAACCTGATAACTAAGCCTATCGCTCTTTTTATTTGTTTCGTAGAAAAGTGAGAATTGCCAGATGTAAAATGCTAACTATAATTAATTCTTACCGCAATTTCTAGGCGAACAGAGGTGCTCAAATATATCTACGACAAATCCGAACTCTTACCGACGCAATTCAGTAAACAAAATTTCCACCCTTCGAAACACGACCGCACAACACAGACTGGACTTCTGCTTCCGCTATGAATGGTGGATGACGTCAAACACGACAGCATAAATGCATTTATATAACGAATATTCTCACTTAAACTACTCTTATCGGAATATAAATCTTTAAAAAATATTTCATAGTTGTTAAACTATACGTTTTTCATACCCAATGAAGCTCTTCTATAAAGTACTATATTATTATTTCCTCGAACTTCTTTTTACATCCACCTGTCCCCGTGTCTTTACTATAAAACACCCCGTTTATGACGTTGCGCGTGCGGTGATGACGTCATTGTTGATTTAACTTCAATCAAAATGGATTAAAACGTAATAATTCTTTTGTTATAACGTATTTACACTTTTTTGGTTTAAAAACACATAAGTACAAATTTGCCGAGTGTTTTAAAATTTCTTTTAAGAATTAATATAATAAATATAATATTATCTCTGATTGGGTTTACATAAATATATTCGAAGAAAATTTTCAATAATTTTAATTTTAAAAGTTTGAAAATTTTTCGAAATTTCTTGCACTTTAAAACGCATTGATTAATTCAAAAATATATTTAATGAAATTAAATTATATATATATATTAAAGTTAAATTTAAAATTGCAATTAAACTTTAATTAAGCGAAATTTCTTTAATCTGTCACATTAATCGTTCTAAACATTTAAAATTATTTTGGCAATTTGAATTAAATTTCGATGAAGAACCATATAAGTATTTAGAAAAACATAAGACCGTATCATTTTAAAGATGAAATGTAGGCATAACTAAAGTCATCAATAATTGTTTAATGTAGATTATGGAACAGTCAGATGGCAAATACAATAAAGACACCAGAAATTTATATGGATGGGTTAATCCGGATATGTCGGGCCCCCGGCTGCTCCATTGTGTGTCTGGCCGAACCCATAATGGGCTTGCAAGAAGAGGCCCTCTTAGTGCCCACAGGAAGGAGAGTTAAAAAAAAAAAAAAAAAAAAAAAATTAGGAAGAAGGCTACAGTATGGCAGTTATGACGAAAGCTGGGTATCGCGTAAGAAAAATGCCAAATATGCTAAACTNTTAGGCCCTGTACACACTAGGCGTTTTTCAACGCGCGTTAGCTCGGCGTTCGACGAGCGTTAGTTCGGCGTTTAGCACTGGCTCAGTTTGGAAATGGACGAGAAAGTAATTGATTGTGTGTGCTCCTCCATCGTCGCTATAAGGCAGCACATATATCTCAAAGCGCCCATAAAGTGCTCGCAAAACGCGCGTTTTAACAAAAATCTATAAACGCGCGTTTAACGCGCGCTTGGCGTTTGAGTGTGTACGGCTACATAGAACTCTTGGTTCTTTAAAACGCGCGTTAAACGCGCGTTGAAAAACGCCTAGTGTGTACAGGGCCTTACATTGCTGACTTGGTAGTAATGCATTTATTGCAAGAATATTTTCACATATAGAATGTATTTAAACTGAAAAGAAATTTCAAACAAATATGGAGATATTATGAAATATTTTAGCAATAAAAGCAATAAATAAATATTTTGTTTTATCATTTACGTGAAGTATTTAATTTTAAAAAGTCGCAACAAATCCTGAGCGTGAGAAAAAGACACATAAATTAATTCAAAAACTGTACCAGATATTTTCTAGGAAATGGAACCTGAGCTCCGCGGCGTAGATTTTTCTGTTTCGGCTTTAGACGAAAACACAAATGTGCTGACATGCTTCAAACTAGGGCTTATCCAACGGGATCCCGGGAAATCTGGGATCCCGGTTCTCATTTAACATGGGAAATTCTTCTCATCCCAGGAAATCCCGCAAATTTCTTAAAAATTCACGTTTTTCTTATTTTGTGTTAAAGTTGAGGAAATTTTGCAAATAGAAAGTATAATTAACCCATGCTCTGTCAGAATATATTTGTATTTATTAATTTTAAGCCTGCTTATTAGTTTTTTTTAAATTTTTGTTTATTATGTCACAGATGTCACATAATTGTCACAGATTTTCAATAATCAATATGTAGCCCATTTGTGACAGGACTCTAAAAATTCTTTACTTGTCAGAACCTATATCATCTGGAATAATTGTTCTTATACTGTCTTAATTTTTAACCATGCCCAGTAGCTTCAATAACTGCATTATGCCAGGTTGTGCAAATTGGGCAAGGATAGAAACAAGTAAGAAAGTATGCAAGGATGAAGTTTTACTTCATAAACCTGATTATTAAAGTCAAACGAACTGCCGAATTATCGAGTTGTAAGCTTGATGTCGTTATTTTAAAGCGACCGAGGTAGGCAAATCGAGAATATTAGAGAGCAATAGAAGTACTACAATCTCGAAAACGAACTAGAAATCTTCCAGGCTACATATGAAAAAACACGTAATATCCGTCGTCTCTTAAATGCATTAAAGACGATTCCACCCACATCAATTGAATCGGAAAGGGCATTCTCGGTAGCAGGACCTTTCTTTAGTAAAATAAGAATCAAATTAAATGATCGGAGTATTGACCATCTTTGCTTTTTAAATCCTATTATAAAAATTGACAATAATATTTTGTATTATATTTTATTTAAATAACGAACTTTACCTTCTAATTTAGAAGTTTGATCTAAGTTCATTTTTTTCTTTAAATCTTCAACTCAATTCAAAGACATTTTTATTGTAAGCAGTTTCCAACAAATTTTAATAAATTTTTTCTATTTGTGAAAATTTCTAATTCAAAAGTAATTTTTATACATATTTTACACGGCATTATTAATATTATTATTTTGGAGGTTGCAGTATGTATTAAGTTACTTATAAATGAAAAATAATTATATTATTCGATTTTAAGATTTATTTTATATCTTAAAAATAATTAATTATGTCCCGGAATTTTCCGGAATCCTGGGAAACAGTTCACTTTTTCCCGGAATCCCGGGACAAGCAAAAGACCGGGAAATGAGAAACCCTACTTCTAACTTTCTGTCTAAAGTAATTTAAAACAGCAGGTTTTGGTGAGGACGTGCATACTCAGTGTCATAACTGACAAAAACGTCAAGAAATGTTTAATTCACCTCGTGTGAGGACAGCGGTCTACAACTCCAACAACCGATTAAAACACGCGCATGTGGGGCCGTAGGTCTGATTTTTACGAAGAACATTTTAAACGCTCCTCGTAAAAATCAGAATAAAAAATTGTCGTAGAGTAATGTAAATTGCACTCAATGTAAGTGCAATAAATTGACAACAATCAGAAACTCGATTGACATGTAGCACGCGACCAGCTTACAACGGGCAATTGGCCCATAAACTGGCCCATGACGAACTTTGATCTCGAGTACCCCGGTAAAAAGAATTAAAAAAAAAATCAAAATTTATCTTTTGTAATTATATTATTAAATGTAGAACTTTAAATACTTATTGCTTATACAATAAATAATTTATTTCCTATTTATTATTTACAATTTGTATTTACAGATAAATAAATATATTAAAAACATATAATATTAACATTTTATAAAGATGTAAATATAATATTATATTAAAGTTTATAAATTATGTATCATTTTAGTGCTGTTTTTCATTCTCCCAAAACGATAAGAAAAAAATCATTACGCTACTTATAGAATCAGCATCAATTTTGTCCATTAGAAGATCTGATTGGCAATGAGGTCAGTTATTATCAGGCGCTTATTGCCTACTTTCAGTTATTTACGAGATTGTAGGATTCTGGGTAGGTCGGTGCTGAATTTTACTTGGAGTAGCTACTTGTTCAATTTTTTTTTTTTTTTTTTTTTTTTAACTTATACAATGTTGCATATTTACAGTACTAATGGACTAAGACAATGGGCGTNACTACATGAAAATGAAAATTAATGAATACACTGTGTACAGTAATTTACCTGATAAGACAGACCTCAGAAAAATACTTTATGAAAGCTTTTATACTTTTATAAAGCTGTCTATAATGAAAATTAATTAACTAAGGATTTTTTTGCCCTGCCAGGGTGTGGCCGAGTTATCCGGAGTGCCGGGTTATCGAGAGCCGAGTTTTCGAGGTTCTGCTGTATTAGTCGACCTCTTTACTTTCACGTTAAAAATTAATAATTTTTTAATTGTTTTTTGAAGCCTCTGCCAAATCTCGAAGTCTTCTGGCTTACGTTTTCTTATTGCTCATTATGAAGAATCCATTACATGAATCCTATAAGATAGTTACTTAATTTATTTATTGCTAGAGATGTAGTTAAACGAAAAATTCGAAGCGGATAATGATTTTAAGGGATAATAAAAGGAAGAATCCAAGGAGCAAAAATCTTTTATTGTAGAATTTCTGCACCTAAAATAGTCATATTTTTTGTGAGTCAAGGAGGCTTTTTGTGTTTTGTCAGTTTCGAGTAGCCTATGTTAATATTTGACTCCACTTACATCCATCAACGGCCTTATTCTGCTTTGTTTTGCACTCTACGATTTGCTGCTCCACTTGCAAGTCAACGAGAATAAGGTGGCCACACAAGAGGTTTGGAAAAGGAGAGAATCAGGGCCGCAATTAGGCACGGAGAACGGGGGCACTCGGCTGGGAGCCCGCAAAGTATCAAAAAAGCTGAAAATAACACACATTCTTCTTCTTATTATTTTTAACTTTTCAATAATATTATATCTATAACTTGCAATAAATATAAATAGTAATTGTTTTATACTTATTTTTTCAAATTATTATTATTATTTTTTAATTTTAATAATTAATTGATTTAATAATGTAATTCTTAGTTGACGTCCACTTTTGATTACATGTTAGATACATAATATATTTTCAAAATTATATTATAAAATGTCTTTCTTTTTGACAAAAAGTGAATTTTTCTTTTTACACACAATAAGTAAACAAAGTATTTTAGGGGGCTCCATCAGGAAAGTTCGCTTAGGGCCCCGCACAACTTGAGTTTGGCCCTGGATACACTACACCAATGATGAGCAAACTACGGCCCGCGGGCCAGATGCGGCCCCCTGAAATGTTCTATCCGGCCCGCGCGACATTATTCCTAATCTGACGAGTAAAAAAGAATACAGGCTGTGNTCGAGGTTTGGCTGTATTAGTC